CTTCTAAGTCACTGCATCCACAAAGAACAGGCTGCTATGGAAAGAAGAGTAATAAAAGAACAAGATAGTGTTTGGGAAATTAAAAAAGAAAAAAGGTGGCCAAAATAATTTCTATAGAGGGCTAAGCAAAAGAATGGTTAAGACGGAAACGAATTCTTCTTTCTTTCTGCTGCAGAACCCTTTATTGTTTCCACTTGGCCCAGGCTTGGGAGAGGGCTCCAGGGTAGATAAAAGCTGCCTCGTGGCCGCTGAGACAGGCTCAGGCACCAGCTGGGTGGGAGGGACGCCAGTGGGGCCCCTCAAAGGCTGCTGGGGTCCTCCTCATGTTGGAGTGTGATCCTCTCCCCGAGATTCTCGCCCAGCCCAGCCTGGGGGGCCAGCCGGCCTGTGGAGGTGAGTTAGGGCGAGGCACATCTTGATCGCCTTCTCATCGTGGTTCTCCAGCAAGTCCCAGAGATGGGGCCTGTGTGCGCAGAACCTGGGGCGTGCAGATCCAGACCGGCGGGGCTCTGGCTCCTCTCCAGAACCGGGGCGACGTCCGTGGCATCCAGGGTCTTACCACACTCCTCTTGGGACCGCTTCCGCACATCCCAGGAAAGGGCACGGCCTCTTCACCGATTTCGCATCTTCAAGAGACTCTCAGCACCCTCGTGCCCCACGCCCCCGCCCCACCGCCAGCACGCGGAGGAAGTGGCCCGGGACCTCCAGAGGCACATCGCCGAGGTCAACGTAGAAACCGGGAGAGAAGCAGGTGCAGGAGGCCTGCGGAGGCCTGCCGAGCATGGGGGCGGGGGGGGGGGTGGACAGCGGCCTCCACCTACCTCAGTGGAATAATTCTGAGGAAACTGGGAGCTCACATCTGACGGATAATAAGGAGCTAAACTCAAAACAGCGAGTTGGTTAGTCCCAGAGGCAGAGGATGGCCAAGATGGCTTCAAAGGTTGCCACTAAGAAAAAGTTTGGAAGGGGGTTGGAGGCTGGTAGGAAGGATTCCCTGGGTCTGTTCTCTCCAGACACTATTGAAGCAAGAGACAGATTTCACAGGACCTCAGAGCGCACTGTTGAAAACCAAATTATTTTTGTACTTGGATTGCGATGCAAGTTACAGCACATTCTAATTGATTAAAAATCATTGTATACTCAGAATGGGTCACTATCTTGGTGGGTAAATTATTCCTCAATAAAGTGGTTATAAACCAATAGCCCAGCCCCCTCAGCCTTAAGAGGGATCATTCTGGGGCATGTTTGACACTGTTCTCAAGAGTGAGCTGGGCTCACCTGGGCTGAGCTCCAGCTCTGTGGAGGCAGTTGGCTGCCTTCCTTCCCAACGCCACCTCCTCACCTAACCATGTACCCAAGAAACTACTTATAGTAGAATCCTTCTCTTAAGGTCTCTTTCTGGAAGAACCCAAACCAAGGGCAGAGTATTTTTTCATTTTGCTTCAAGTTAAAGAGCAGATGGGCAAGCTGGTGCCAGGATCAGGGTTACTGATGACATTTCAATAGAATGAATGGTCAAGAAAACCAGTCTGGGGAAGGGCTTCGTGGTGAACAGGAAGGGAATGTTAGTTGATGACAGGCCAGGAAAAGGCATATCATGGATGGTAAGTCACCAGGGCAATGAGAAGCCCTTGCTAGCACTCAGGATGCAATTTCTTCATGTGGCTTACTGCTTGAGTAGGATGAGGATGAGAGCATTCCCCTGATGTAGGGCAGCATGTCCAGAAGCCATGAGCACCATGGTCCAACTGCCAGGCCTCTGACTTAGAAATAAGCCCTTGGATTACAGTCAAATTAAAAACTCTTATTTTTGTTGCTTCAGAGCAATTAAACCTCCCCTTTCGCAACGCACACTAGGCGGGAAGAAAGCAACTACCAAAGCTTGAAAGTCACCATGGTTTTTTGGGTGGAAACTGCTAAGCAGGGTAAGTCAAACAGACAAGTGAGAGAAGCAGGAAATATTCCTCAACAGGACTCTATGTTTTCAATTTAAGAGTTTTCAAATTTTACATATATATGCATGTCACACACACACTAATGCTGTATTTCGATTATTCTAATATGTAGTATTTCACATTTTAATATCTCTGCAATTGAGGCATATCATATAATATAAATCATATTGAACTTTTAATGGTAAATAAAATATTACATCTTAAAATTAATAATTCATATACAATGTGGCAAGATTTTTTTGGCTACTTAAATATTAGAAATGCCATTGGCCTCTACCTTTCCAAAGCATTAAAACCTGAATGAATCTGGACAAATACTTCAATTTTGCAGATTTACTGTTAACTCTAACAAGGTGAAGTTCAGCTTCAAGATTACTTGACAGATGTCCCTAGCATTTAAGAAAATATAACCAATATACAATTAACATTAAGGAAAAACCGAATTTATCCAATAATCACAGCCCAGAGCATGAAGCATGTTTCATCTGTTCTAAACAAGAATTTTTACTTCATCTGACATTTTTCTTAAGAAGGCAAATCACATTGAATTAACATTTGGCCCAAGTAAAGGCTTTATTCATTTTCCTAGAAGTGAGAATAAGTCATCCTTTGCCTTAATAAATGCATTTTCCAGGGCACCTGGTCATTAAGCGGCAGGCTTTGGCTCAGGTCATCATCAGAGGGTCCCGGGATCAAGCCCTAGATCAGGCTCCCCCTCCCTCTGCTTATATTCCATTTCTGTCAAATAAACAAAATCTTTAAATAAGTAAATAAATGCATTTTCCGCTATCTGCATTGGAGGGGACCAAGACCACCCAGAACACCAAATATTCTAGACCATTGTCAATCACAGGTAGTAGGAGATGGCCACACTTGCGGAGGCTTTTAAATTTGGATTCAACTTCCAGGGGATGCAAAGTATTCCCTCAACCTCTTGCCCTTTCTTTCCATTCTCCCTTGACCAAAATTAAGAAAGGAAACCAAGGTTAAGGATGTCCCCTTCATCCTTTTCCTCTTAACACCTGCCTGGGTTTATGAAAATTTAAAACCCGGCAATGCTCATTTGCCCTGACCTTCAAACTTAAAATCAGTATTTGGGAGTAGCCAAGAAAAGGGTCCAAATGTGTTTCTGCTGAAGCCTCAATTGAGCAGTTCTTAATGAATTAGACTGTGATGCTTAAAGCATCCATGAAGTGGAGGCTCAGGGGAGAAGCCATCTCACAGGCATCAAGAGAGGGCTTCATAGTCTTAAAGATCAGTTGATAACCATAATGGAGTCCAATGCACATGGAAAGCTTTAAATTCAGTATATTCCATCCTTAAAAAGGACATGAACCCCAAAATGGACATGGATTAGGACAGTACAGTTTTTAAGATGCTCCTTTAGAGACAAGAATATACAATGGGGAAAAGATAGTCTCTTCAACAAATGGTGCTGGGAAAACCGGACGGCTACATGCAACAGAATGAAACTGGACCACTTTCTTACACCAGACATAAAAATAAATTCAAAATGGATTAAAGACCTATATGTGAGACCTGAAACCATAAAAATCCTTGAAGAAAACATTGGCAGTAATTTCTTTGACATCTTCTTTGACCATAGCAACATTTTTCTAATAGGTCTCCAGAGGCAAGGGAAAGAAAAGCAAAAACAAACTATAGGGACCTGCACCAAAATAAGCTTTTGCACAGTGAAGAAAATCATCAACAAAACAATAAAGACAACCCACTGGATAGGAGAAAATATTTGCACTATATCCAGTAAGGGATTAGTATCCAAAATATATAAAGAATGTCTACAACACCAAAACAAAAACAAAAACAAAAACTCACAAAAAATCCAATCCAATTAAAAAAATGCAGAGAAGACATGAATAGACATTTTTCCAAAGAAGATTTACAGATGGCCAACAGACATATGAAAAGATGCTCAACATCACTAATCATCAGGGAAATGCAAATCAAAACTATAAGAGATCACCTCACACCTACCAGAATGGCTAGAATCAAAATGGCAAAAAACAACAAGTATTGGCAAGGATGTAGAGAAAAAGGAACCTTCATGTAACACTGATGGGAATGCATACTGGGCAGCCACTGTGGAAAACAGTATGGAAGTTCCTCAAAAAATTTCAAATACAAATACCATACAATCCAGTAATTCCACTACTAGTATTTACCCACAAAAAACAAAAACACTAATTTGAAAAGATCTATGTACCTCTATGTTTACTGCAGTACTATTTACAATAGCCAAGATATGGAAGTAACTCAAGTGTCAGTGTACAGATGAATGGTAAAGATGTGGTAAGTACACACAATGGAATATTATCCAACCAAAAAATAGAATGAGATCTTGTCATTTGTGACAACATGGATGAACCTAGAGAGTATTACAGTAAGTGAAATAAGTCAGACAAAGACAAATACCATATGACTTCACTTATATGCACTATCTAAAAAAAAAAAAAATGAATAAACAAAATGCAAAAACAGACCCATAAACACAGAGAACAAACTGATGGTTGTTGGAGGGAAGAAGGTGGGAGGATGGGCAAGATGGGAGAAGGGGAGAAGGAGATACAGGTTTCCAATTATGGAATGAATAAAATCCCCAGAGATAAAAGGTATAGCATAGGGAATATAATCCATGATATAATAATAGTGTTGTACAGTTGACAGATGGCAGCTACACTTGTGATGAGCCCAGCATAATGTATGGAGAAGTTTAATCACTATGTTGTACACCTGAAACTTACGTTGACGTTGTATGTCAACTATACCCAAAAAATTTTTAAAGGCGCTGCTTTATTTCCAATTACATTTTCTACTCACCACAAATGGAAGCATAAATAAATATTTATATTCCTCTAAAGACTCTAGATGGGAAGTACTTCTAAGAATTTTAAAGGCAAAGACAGAGAACCCACTGAGACAGAGAAAAAGTTATAGGTCAGTGCTACTACAATAGTTTCAGGGCAGAGGGAACGGTCTCTTTTGGGAAAACGTAATCAAACACAGGAAACAAAAAGAAATCATAGATTATTACACATTACACATGAAAATTAAAAATACAGTGACTTTATTTCCATCTTCTTACAGTCTCCAGTATCACATGTAATAAGCATCATCTCTATAAACACAAAAATATTTCAATAAAGCATGTTACAAGATAGTATATGTAAGCAACAGTTTGGCAGAAGTTTATCAACTCTAGTAGTTTGTAACCACCCCCCCCCACAAAAAAGCCAAGTTTTAAAATTCAAAAGTAACAGTTAGCTTTATTTAACACGTTACACCTTAACACTTAAAATACCATGCTCTAGTTAAATATTTCATCAACAACACTGTATACAAATAAAATATTACACAAAATATATTTAAGAAAATGTTTTGGTCTTTGATCTGAACAATAAATAAAAACACAGGCACTTCTACACTGAGACAGGGAAGCAGTCACTACTCAGAATAATTTTGTGTAAGCGGCATGTGAAAATATGGCAAGAATAGAATCCTGGAGTTTTAAACTGACAATCCACTCATGAGAAGGTCTGCAGTTTCCATCTTTTCACTTAAAGTTCAGAAATGACATACGCTTTCCTGGTCCACACTGAAAAATCATAAGCACAATATGGTCGCTAGGGTCCATTCAATTTTCAGTTGACCGTTACAGAATCATACTCATTACCGTCAAACACTAAAATCTGAGAACTATCATGATACCACCCATCAAAACAAATACAAGAACAGTTAAACTTTCTCCTTATTATGGCCCTAAGACCATAACAAGGTAAAGCGGATAAATGTCACACAGTGATTCTAATTCTTCAAAATTAACTGACCTTAACACAAGAAAATACTGTTGGGGTGGTGGAAAATTTTGACAGAGGTTAATTTTTCTAGGCAATTTAAAAAATTCATCCAAATTTCATGAAAATAAATGGAGTTCCAGTCAACAAAAACCACTAGATCACATACAACAAAGTCTTTGTAGCCAAGATGTTTGTTTATAAACACCTAAATTGCAGATAATTCACTCATTATAATGGAAAGTTGGGATATGATCATATGAGGGTAAAAAATAAATAACCTAAAATGGTCAAATTCCAGAAGCTTATGATTTCAGATGAGAAGGGAGGCAAATTAGAAAATAATGGACATTAGCCATAGGAAAGATCAGAACCAATCGTCCCACCACATCCTCCATAAAAAAAATTATAATCTGCTTTCCCTCTTCAGAAAGTACCACACTGGAGGGCTGAGAGGCCCTCAAATGGATACTACTAATAAAGGCAATTTTGATGGTTTAACATAGAAGTTACCCCTAATGTGAAAGAACACAACATGGGAACTATTCAAGATAGGTCTTTCTAGGCAAAATTTAGTTTGTATATATTTCAGCAATTTAAGTGAGCATTTTGCAACCGAGACCAAATATCAATCATCTCTTGAGGTTTTCTACTATGTACTAACATCAAATCTACATAGGAACAAATGTTATTCTTGTTTTTCTCTTCTATATCAAATGTCTTGAAGCCTTTATGTTTCTCTGGAACGAGGCCGAGCTTCTGAAGGCACATTCCAGTATAAACATCATCAATGGGGTAGAGAAGGACCTGGTCAGTTATATTGTACAGCCTCAGGGCCAGGTGGCCAGAGTAAAGGAAGCCGCCTCCCCCAGCATAAGGCGGATAGACGCCAGTGTAAACAACTTCTGGGATGTAGTACTTCAGTTTCTTATCCCGATGAGGTCCAGCATTGTGGATCACATCACCTATAAACAAATCTTTGGCTTTGTTCTTGGGTAAGCTATTCAAGTAATTCAGGATGTGATGGGTGTTCACAAAAACATCGTCGTCGCCTTTAAAAACAAACTCAGCATTTGGGCAAGAAGTGCTCACCCACCTGAGAAAGAGCACTTCTTTCAAGGACAGGTTGAAGAAAGTGTCTCTGTAGTTCCACATAAGAATGTCTTGGTGCTTCTCGCTCTCAAATTTCAGCATGTCAGACAGGTCTGGGTGGTTGTCCTCCGGCGGGGTCTGACCCAGTAAGAAGACTCTCACTACCGTTTGGTTCCCCACATTGGTTTCTCTGCCCCAAGATTCCCGAATTGCTTGCCTTCTAGCAAAATGTGGGATGAGGGACTTTATCGCCAGTAATAAGAAGGGTTTCTTTGCACATTTATCTGTTTGATCTATAAGTAGTGAATAATTTCGACATCTCAAATACAGCAGAAAGTCTTTAAATCTGTCTGGCAAATTGCTGAAACCTGAAACTACTGACATGACCCTGAGGTCAGGTTCACAAAAATTTAGATGGCTTATGTTGGAAAACCCGTACACGTCCCCTGTCTGGTTGGCCAATGTGTTCAAGATGGGATTGTACAGCCTGTTCAGCTTTTCTTGCTCTCTGTTCCAGTAGGCCACAGGGGGGTCCGAGATCTTCCAGAACTTTTCTTTGGGAATTATTACTTCGCCCTTTCCATTTTTTTCCTGGCTGCTACTTTTGGAGACTTCCACGATCAAATAAATGAAGACATTAACCATCATCAGGATACCCAACAATTTTATTCTTCGACGTCCAACACTCATTTCTCATATCTGTAATAAAAAAGAGCACTGTATTAATTAGGTAATTATTAGTTTGCATTTGTGGACATATGTCACTTGACTTTTTGTCTTTATCTTCTCTGGAACAGTGGTTTAGAACCCAGATTCTAGACCTGTACTGCCTAGGTTCAAATCATGGCCCTACCATTCTAGCTCTGTGACTGTGGGAAAGTTGTATAGCTGATGTCTCAGTTGATATGAAGTCTCATCTAATAAATGGGGACAATAACCCACTTCACAGGATGGTTGTAAGGGCGCTACGATTTTATATGTAAAGATTTGGAAACAGTGGCTAGTCTACAGCAAGGAGTACATAAGTGACTGTAAATAGTGTGGCTGTGTAAGATACCTGAGGGCAAAGTTACGCATTTACTAAAAAGCTCACGGGTGTCCAACTTCCTTGCTTATAAGGACACACATACAAATCAGTGTGTTGCAAACTGATTTGCTCACAATTCATAGCAAATACATTTTATATTGTGACCCAGTACACACATGTATTTATAGGTGCATTGCAATGTATGAGTTGCCATTAAATTCACAAAATTCTCCATTTCCATTTCATTTTTTAGAAAATGGTGGTCCCCACCCTGAACTGTTTCTCAACCCACCCTTTGACAGATGAGAACAAGTCAAGGGAGAAAGATTAACATGCTTGCCCAGGGTTGCAGGGCTACTAAGTGGAGGAGACACTAACCTTATCAAATATTCAGAAAATGGTAAGATTCATACCAGCTTTAACCGACTGGCCCAAAACGGAGAACGACTGAAATACCATCAAGAGAGGAATGGATTAACAAACCGTGGTATATTCATACAGTGGAATAACCCTTGGCAATAAAAAGGAAATGACTTCTACTAGCAGCAATACCACAACACTGTGCATGAAGGACAGACCTTGGGGGGGCCTGGTTGGCTCAGTCACAAGAGCCCTAAGTTTGAGCCCCAAGCTGGGTATAGGGATTACTTCAAACAAAGAAACAAAGAAGTATTTATAAAAGAATAAGGAGAAGGAGAAGACCACCACCTCAGGGCAGCCGAGTGGCTCAGTGCGTTAAGAGTCTCCCCCAGGGTCCTGGGATGGAGCCCCACAACAGGCTCCCTGTTCACCAGGGAGCCTGCTTTTCCTTCTGCCACTCTCCCACCCCCACCCTCCCCTCATGCTCATGTTCTCTTTCTCTCTCAGATAAATTTAAAAACAAAAGAAGAAGACCTGAAATTCCATTTATGTCAGGTTCAAGAAGACAAGATTAATCTAGGACCTAGAAATGTGAAAATGATAGGGATTGACATTTTGACTTACAGAGGGGCAGGAGGGAACTTTCCAGGGCATAGAAATGTACTGTGTATGTCTTGGCCTGGATGAGGGTTTCATGGATGTATACATTTGTCAAAACTCAAACTACATACTTAAGAGCTCTGCTGTTTATAGCAAAATGAAAAAGGGAAATGAAAATGGCATTTTCGTGAAATATCAAAGGCCAAGAATAGATTCCAGGCTGTGGCCAACAGAAGAAAAGAAGAGAGAGCAACAAAATAGTTTGTGGGGGATACAGCTCCAGAGTTCTAGCACGATAGAGATCGATGACCAACAAGAGGAACCATTTAGATAAGCCTGACATTAAAAGACAACCCAAAAATGTGGAATGGCAAGACACTATAAGGAATTTTCTTATCAGGTTAATTCTACAACTGAGAATCTATACTTAGAATTCCTAAGAACAGGGGTGCCTGGGTGGCTCAGTGGGTTAAAGCCTCTGCCTTCGGCTCAGGTCATGATCTCAGTGTCCTGGGATTGAGCCCCGCGTCCGGCTCTCTGTTTGGCAGGGAGCCTGCTTCCCTCCCTCTCTGCCTCCCTCTCTGCCTACTTGTGATCTCTCTCTCTCTCTCTCTGTCAAAAAAATAAATAAAATCTTCAAAAAAAAAAAAAAAAGAATTCCTAAGAACGGTTGCATTCCAGGCATGGTGTAGTATCCTCCTTGATATGGTAAATCTATGAAGTAGGTGTTATTACTTTTATTCTCGTTTTATACTTGAGAAAACAGATTTAAAGAAGTCGCTCTTAAGGGCAGAGCTGGGTCCCAAGGCCACCAAGTCAATGAGATTCCAAGGTCACTTAGTCAAATGGTAGCCACTCTCCTCCGACCTCTAGAAACAAAGCTGGGTACCCATTTTAATTAAGGATAGTGTTTATTATTTCTTTAATATAAGAGGATTTTTAAGTTTACTGGGTTTTAACAAATAGTACCAAGGTAGAAGTATTTGGCATGCTAAGAATGCTATAAAGTTATCATATGCCTGACAGCCCAGATTAGATGGGTTGGAATTCACAAATTCTTTTATGTCTCTTAAGATGTGTCTAGTAGATCCCTATCTAGTTGCCTGTGTTTACCACTGCTAAATAGCTTTGGCTATAGACACAGCAGTAAAAGGTGTTTAAAAAAAAAAAGCCCCATCCCATACCCTCCCACTCCTAAAGCTTTTGCGTAACTAGAAAACATGACAGATGACAGTTATGTGGGTGCCCTCAGCTCACCCAGTTAGCAGCCCCCATCACTATCCCATTTCTCCCCTCCCTTCTCAACCACTATCTATCTCCACCCCCGAAGAAACCCACCACTGAGCCACCAAGAAAGGGCCTATTTTAAAGAAGATATTTATATATTTAGAGAGTGAGCAAGCAGGGGAGAGGCGGGGTGGGTGGAAGGAGAGAGGGAGATGGAGAGGGAGAATCTCAAGCAGACTCTCAAAAGGTGGGGCTTCATCTCACAACACTGAGATCATGACCTGAGCTGAAATCAAGAGTTGGACACAACCGAGCGAGCCACCCAGGTGCCCCAAGAAAGGGCCTTCTTAAACTTCCTCCAGAGAAGGCAGTTAAACCCACAAGATATTTCCTACTCCTTAACTCCAGTTTGAAAGGGCCCCAAGGCACACACAACCTGAATAATTCAAACACTCATACCCAAGTCTAGGGTCCGCACCCCCCTTAGGTCAGGTTCCTTTCAAATGAGCTTTTGGGCAAACCTAAGGAATAAACTGAAGGTCTCAGTTCCATACACCTTTGGCAACTTAAACCTTTTTGTTCTAGGCCTTACTTACAAGGAGAAGAGAACTCAAATGGACACTCAGAATGTACTTGTATGGGTACTTCATACATGTAAATAAACAGCCATCTTTTAAGAAAATAAATCATAATTTTAAGGGTTTGGTTTCGGGTTTGTTTTTGTTTTTGTTTTTGTTTTTTGTTTTTTGTTTGGCTTCTAGATGTGACAAAATGGTTTTCAAAAACAACCGATTCTCTCTAAATTGGTCTAACTCTCCTAAAGCTACAGTAGCTCTTGACCCCGTATCTCTGATCTCTATGTCTTGGGTGCTTCGTGTAAACAGCTTGACGCAAGGGCAATAAGGAAAAGTATGAGGATGAATGGAGAAAGCCCATAATGAGGAAGATTTGGAAGGTACTCGGGAAAAAACAGCACGCACTGTGAACAGCTAACTACCAAAATTTTCAACTGAGAAAAGGAATATGGCTATCAGCAGACTACTTCTGAAATTTCTAGAGTAAGAGAGGTCAGCTTAAGGAAGAAAAAAGGGAAGCACAGAACTCTACATAACAAGTTCTAAACCTGTGAGCTGATCTTCCTAGGGGAAGATTCCGGGTGAATAATATGTGAGATGATTCCAGATAAATGAGCTGGTAGTACGTTCAGGTTATGGGGCAGGAATCCAACCATAACTGTCTGAAGTGATGGTCTGAGGTTTCTCTCATGGAAAGCACCATTCCTTCTTTTGGGAATCCTTTGAAGAAAACGTGTTTTCTGGCAAGATTTCCAACTTCATTCATTGCAATTCAGGCTTTTATTTCCATGATCAAGACCCAGCCAGGTCTTCCCATCACCTCTGCCAACACAGGTCTCTGTGGGTCTCAAAGGGACACCATCCCCACCTTCCATCTGCCCAAGGATTCCAGACTGCAGAACATTTTCTTGTGCAATTTGCATCTGCATCCCCTAAGGGAAGCTGAAAGGATAGCCCCTTAACAGTGAGAAAAATGGAGGCCCAGAGATGGTTAACTGAGCTGCCTAAATATACCTCATAAATACATGAGGGTGACATGATGCAGCTTTCTGGTTCCCAACCCAGGGCTCCTTGGATCTCCTTTTTCTACAAGGCACGGCCACATTCTTGTAACCCGACCCAGGTAGGTCAATAGCAAAGTCTCAAGGGCTGGCTCAAGACTAAAAAAAAAAAAAAAACCCAAAGCACGGAAAAATACTCTTTGTTAGCTCAAATGGACCCAAGGTACATTTGATCATTACCAAGACTCTCCAAAGAAAGGGAAATGGGAGTGCCTAGAAGCTCCCAGCACCCCTTCTGAGAAGGGGCCAGCCTTCCCAGGTCCAAATTCCCAAACATGCAGCTTAGGCTAACTCTCACCACTACTTGCTCAGTGCGTTTCTTCCAACCTGAGAAGGAAGGATGGGAAAACCGAGATTCTCAATTATACATTTCCATCTAGTTTAAATGTCGTCTTTTATTTGTGACCTGGGCACGGTTCCTCACATGAGAACTCGGCTTTTGGCAGGCTCTTACAACAAACCAAAGTTCATGGAAAGGAGGATGAAACAGTGACCCCATAAAAATATCTGTGGGAAAAAGCTCTCTGAATATCTGACTAAATATTCCCATTGCAGACATAAAACCAATACATGTCCTTTTCTGAGCAGGAAGTTACATTGCTTAAAAAGAATTTGAGTAAGAAAACTTACCCCAAAGCTGGGAAAGTTGTTATACAACCCTTACTGTGAAACACAGAATTTTTATGGTGAGCAAGAGAAAGAGGAGAAAATCCCATATGCAAACAAAGAATAACCTTAGCTTTTCACCTTGTGCCTGGGAGTGAGGTCTCCCCACCCCCCATAAGGACTGAACAGTTTTGAAATTTCTGAAACACTTCAGTTAGTTCTGTTTAATGGAAAAGAACTTCCTTATTTTGCAATTAAATATTTAGAAAAGCGAGGTAGAAACAGGAAAAATACACTTGTTAGCTGAAAATGGATTATAAAATAGCACAGATGTTATGCTTAAACTATGTGAAAATCCAGATAAAATAACCACACAAAACCAAAGCTGGTTTAATCGGGGTGGTAAGATTGTAGGTTATTTGAACATTCTTTAATGCTGCCTTACCATGTCTGTCCTTGAATAGCCTTGACCACACACATCTACTGCCTGTGTGATGGCCTCAGTCCCACAGTCACTCCATCACTGTAATGGACCTCGCAGCATTCAGAAGAGGCTCTAGGGACAACATCCAACCCTAGCCCACCCGACAGCTTTCCTTGAGCCTGTGCTATTTATCTGAAGCCATCTATTAGAAAGAACTATGAACACATATGCCCTGTTTTAATAAAAACTGAGGTACCTGCCAGGCACCAGCAATCCCATGAGGCAGGTACTCTCAGAGAGGTGATTTAACTTGCCCAAGGTCACACAGCTGATAAATGGCAGAGCCAGGATTCAAACCCAAGCAGCTTAAACCATGCTACAAGTGAACGGTGCTGCACAGGGTTATGACTAATGGGACATTAGTCTTATTTTCCATGGCTAATCTCCTTAAAAATTATTAAATATTTTAAAGCTTTACATTTATACTTTTGAACCTACAAAACTACCATGAGTCAAAATCAGATATGGGAGGCAGGGTTGTAAGTAAGTAAACTTGATTAATGACTATGTATAAGCCAAATTCTGGGCAAAACAACTCACATACCTCATTTTGTTTCCCAATATGCAGTCCATGCAATTTTAGTATTTCATTCAGGGAGACTAGAGTGGGAACCATGGAATGGGATGATCCTAAAAGGTCTCCTCCAATTCTGAAAGTCCTAGAAACACTGAAACAAAATGCTGGCCAGAAAACATGTTAATGTGGCCAGGAGAACTCATTCTCAAAACTCTGACTCCCGGACATTTACACACACACTCTCTCTCTGTCTCTGTCTCTCTCTCTCTCTCTCTCTCTTTCTCTCTCTCTCTCTCTCTCTCTCTCTCTCTCTCTCACACACACACACACACACACACAGAGCCAAGGAGCTCAGGGAGGTGGCTACCACTGGCTAGTCAGGGACAGAGCCAGCAATCACACCTGGCCTGACCCAAAACCTGTGCTTGGTGTGGCCCTGCAGTATTGACAAGGTTAGAAAGAAAGGCAGGACTTTCTTGTGACCATTACATAAGATGAGCAGCCACCCCTGTCCGGTCAGGCTGAGGCAAGGAGGCTGGAAATCCAAGCTCTTGGTTCAACCATGGTAAGGGCTAGCAGCCTTTGTATCCAGGAGTTCCTGCTTCCTGCTCACCCTTCCCCACAAATCAGACACACAAATCCTCAAGGGGGAAAGAGCCCAAGCCCACTGCCATCCCACGAGAGCGGGGGAAACACGTCCGTACACGTTTTGGAGAACGGGCACATCCTTCTGCAGACCACTTCTCTCCCCCACCCTCCAGGAGCCTGGGGAGAGTGGCTTTCCTAAATCTTTATCTCCCAGGCTGCTCCCATCTGTTGCCTGGTCCCTGCCAGACCTTTCCAGGCTCTGCTCTGATAAACAGATACAGGGACACTTTGCAGCTAAGTGATTCTGGGGAGAGAACAGCTTTGAGCACTGATGCAGACAGTGGGATGATCAGGGTATGAGGGAAGCAGCTCAGTGGGACCTGAAGAGCTGGGCCATACCTAGAACCTGTTCCTTCATAGTAGCAAGAAGCCCGGCCTGGGTCCTTGCCAGGGCTGGGCAGGCAAGCCCAGGACTTCCTCCTTAACCTCCCCTAGAAGCTGACACAGAGAGAGAACATGCATGTATCTCTGATGTTGCTTTCTAATCTCTAAGTCATGCAACAACTACCAGCTACATGCAAGGGATTTGGTTCATAGTCATTAGTATGAGTATTAGTACTTAAAAGGGAAAAGAACATACAATGAATCTGCTCACCCACACACCCCCACAGGCAACATTATACATGAAAGTGTCTGGCAGGACATGTTCCCGTCCCCAACTGATTATAGTTCCCCAAAGCCCAGCATGGCTGATGTTCTCAAGTAGTATTTATCACTTAAGATAAAATTATCACTAAGTTCCTTCTTCAAATAAACATGCACAGAACTTTCAGAAAAGGGAAAGGAAGAAAATTTAGCAAATGATGACAGGGAATTAATCCTCCCAGAGGCCATCTTGACCCTACCTTTAGTCAAACTGACAAGAGTTACAGATGTTTAGTGTAAAAGAGTATGGAGTTATAAAACAAGCCTAGCAGATGTTTGAGGATAGAAATGTTCCAGATCCATTTTCATTTTGAAGGTCAGCCAGGCATCTGGAGTCAGCCCAGAATTAAATTCTGGTTACGTTACCTACTAGCTGTGTGACCTTGGGCAAGTTACTTGACTTCTCTGAGTCTGTTTCCTCATTTGTAAAATGGGGAAGATATAATATACCATTCCAGTCTGTTGTCTACCACTCAATGGACATTCAGTAGTTCTCCTTCAAGGGTTCTGATTCTTCCAACACTAAGCACATTTCTCAAGTTTTGTCGCTCACTGCGCCTTTTATAAATTCTCCCTCTCTAGAAACCCATCTACCCACTATCTTAAACATCCCCTCCAAAAGTAAGACCACAGGTTGACCCAGTTAACTCCAAATATTAGCCACTAAATGTTTTGTAGGGTCCCTCTTCCTAGGTCCCCTATTTGTAATGGGCCGATTTCACAGGCACCTGGATGTACACCCCAGAATTATTTTGAACTGTTGCTTAACCATGCTCTCCCTGTCCAACCAGGAGCCGAATCTCGTTTTCCCATGTGACACACATCTCCTCCTCACCTCTCCTCTATTCTATTCAGGCTCGGCCACACTGGCTACTGTGACAGCCTACTGCCTTACTTCCCAGCAGACTCCCAGATACACCGTCTTCCCCAACTACTCAGTCTTTAGTCCCCTGTGCACGCACGCTCTCCCTGCTCATGCTGTCCCCTGCATTGGTCTGACAACCACGGGCAGGCTACTGCTCGTTCAAAGCGTTAACTACCTGTGTTGTCTTCTAAAGCTCCTCTCCATAGAGCTCAGGGCCTCATGGCCTCTTCCCCTCTTCTACAGGGTCTCCTGCCCAGTGATATGCCCCAGCCTAAACACCAGCCTCAGTCCTCTCACTCACATGCCCTTCTGGTCCCAGCCAGGGCACGTCATAATGATTCGGGCTTCTCTCCACCATCTCCAGCCAACATCCCCCCCACCATCTCCACACCATCCACACTTGAACACGTAAACACAGCAAACACATTTCTCTTCCAGAAAATCTCAGCTTTGCTCTGCCATCTGTAGAGTGCCTTCCTTTTGCTAGGCCTTTAAGCATCTACTCCTTCCAAACAAATTCATTCCAATGTCACGTCCTGGCTAGTGCACCCCGCTCCCAAAGGTTAGGGCATCTTCTCCTGATCATGCTGGCCTAGACCTGGGCATAGTCCATAATCGAGGCCTTCACACGATACCACCATTACCCCAGCACATGGCACCTGAGATTCATTCTGCATTTGCTAAATGGACAGATATTTTGGTCATCTGGTCAAGTTCATTGAATACAGTGAGATAGTCAGTAGGAACTGGATTAAAACATATACACTTTTTCTCCAGAGTGTATATGACACTGGAAAATCACTCACTTAGTGCTGGCAAATGACACACACATATTTACATAAATTCCCCTTTTCAGAGTACAATAGAAAAAGATTTAAAGGATTTTTTTCTAGTGTTAAGAGAGAGATGAATTTCACGAGTAGTGAGTCTGTATTAAATCTAAGAGTTTGGGGACAGGATCTGAAGTAGTAAATGGGGATGGACACTATGGCCCAGGCCCTCATTTCCCACAGTCAGCCCAGACCCACCAAAGGCAACACACTTGCGTGTGCTTTGACTGGGCGTGCCCTATGTGCGGGGAATGCACATGCTTCCAGGTGAGGGCTCCGTCCCTCCTCCTGCAGCAGACCCCACCTCTGTCCTATCCCCAAATAGGGGAGCCTCCACACCTCCTTCCTGGCAAGGGGAGGACCTTGAGCAACTGCTACCCCTATCAAGACCATGACAATAGAGGCCCAGGGCAAACATGCCTCAAGGAAGGAAGGGCCTTCGCACAGACTTAAAATCCAAAGGGTACCCACTTCCCTAAGGTGGGCTATCATCTTAGAAAAGATATGCTGAAAGGCAGGCAGTTGTTTTCTATGCAGTTTTTTTTGTTTGTTCGTTTTCTTTTGTTTTGTTTTGAGAAAGAGAGAGAATCTTAAGCAGGCGCTTTGCCCAGTGCAGAGCCCTATGCGGGGCTTAATCTCATGACCCTGAGAGATCATGACCTGAGCCAAAATCAAGAGTTGGATGCTTAACTGACTGAGCCACCCAGATACCCCATTCCTGTGGAGCTTAATGTGTGTTGGAAGCCCATGTTAAGAGCTGTACATGGTTACGCTTTGGTAAGTGTTTCCACTCCAAGCTCCAGGACCTACGTACAAACAGTACAGTCTGGCAGGCTCTTAACAGCCCTTCAGAGAAACCCCGAGATTTCTCTCTGATCCATCCTTCTATTTGCTTAGTGGGGTTACATGGGATGCACTTCAGTCTGGGTCCAACCAGGAGGGAGAAATCACACAGTAATTTAAGCACCAGTTTCAGAACCTGGTGAGTAACTATAAAGATGGAATAGAATTCTAACAAGCAAGCTTTGGCAGATGAAAAGTACCGGAAAAAGGACAAATGCAGAAGAGATGTTCAGAGCTTATTTGAGAAGGTATGGATGGCAGAAAAGTTCCTGCATTCCCAGGCCAGAGACAGGCCAGTGCCCAGGAAAGCAGGAACAACCCTCTGGGGCACAGGCACAAAGCCTGGAATATACAGGTCCCCATCAGGAAAATGAGAGAAAACAAGTTGTAGAAACTGCTGGGTGGGCATGCAGAGGGAGTCACCATGCACAGGGAGTCAAGGGTGCTGCCAGAACCAGGCAGTGGGGAGATCCCCTTGTACCGCAGGTTAGCATGTCAATGTATGGCTGAGATAGGGGCAGCTTGTGGCCACAGCCTGGGACAAAGATCAGGTGGCCAGCTCACTAAATGGCCAGGGTTTGGGGGCCCGGTATGAATATATATGGGGTTAACAAGCAGGGGCAGAGAAGCAGTGACCTCGGGTGAGCCCAGGCTCCCCCAGTCCAGCACTGCTGCCAGAGCTGGAAAAAGCCATGACCCCCCTGCAGGTCCCTAGGAGTACAGTACAGCAGGTTCTACCAGAACCCGGTTCCAGAACAGGAAGGAAATCCCATACTTCTGCAACATCCTCTTCAGAGCCTTCACTTACAGAAGGTGAAGGTAAAACATCTGAAGTCCCTGATCCATTTTCATGTATCAGGCAACACAGGGTGAATTCGGAGCTGAGATGCAACAGTCAAAACCTGGCCCAAGTTCTCCATCTGTTAAGTCACCAACCCAACTTCATCTCCAAGCATACTTTTTTCTGAGTCTGAAGTCAGGAGGAAAGGGTTATTATAAAACATGGATCTGAAACAGTGAATATATGTAACTGCCCATTAGCAGACAGCAGAGGTGAAGGCAGAACCTGAAGGGACACAGGGTGTCTGCAGGCAGAGGTAACCGGGCCAGTCTGTGGGCTTGGAGGACACCCTGGGAAGAGGAAGTGAGTGCTGGTGGGCTCAGGGCCTCTACCCAGAAGAAGAGGACCAGTACCTGGGCCTTACTGAACAAATGCAGCCACCAGAGAGGCTGCTCGAATATGTTCTCTTTCTTTCACAGGCCCTCTATGTAAAAAAATAGAGAAGAAAATGGATTAAATCATACAGGAATATAAAATAA